ACAAAGGAACTGAACACAACCAGTGTTGCAGCTCTAACTAGGTTATTTCATACCTGGTCATGAAGTGCCATGTTTGGGTCACACCAGGTCATGAAGTCACATGTGTGCAGTTCATGTTCAGGATACACCTGAGAATAGACTTCTCAGGGCACACCTGGGAGTGGAGTCACACTTCAGAGTGATATGTGACCACGTGGGGTCCTGAGGCACAGAGTTTTTGTCCTGTGCCCATCAAACTTCCTGTCCCTGTGACCTACGGACACCACCTTCAACTCAGCAGCCCAGTATTTTAAGAACTCTTTTCAGGTGGTAAGGACTACTTCAGCAAATCTGAAACCTGACATTGCCTTTCCTCTGGGAGGAGACACGCTGTTTTACAAACAGAAGGCATCCAGGTGTGACCCTCTGCATTTTTCCTACAGGTGACACAGCACTAGGCCATAGTGGGTAGCTAAGGAACAGTTTTTCATTAACTGGTACAGAAACACACTCAATATTACATTAAGGCATACTCTTCAAGAAAATAATTTCAAGTTCACACAACTACTAAGTTAGACTGTTTCTTTAAGTAAACTTAATTCTTGGAATTAGAACTATGCACATGCCCTGCCTGCCTGGTAGGCATGTAAGGGTAATTGTTTTGATTATGAGGAAGTCAACTAAGACAGCCTTTATAAACTAAACTATTTATGAGGTACAGTCACACAGCTCAAATGTATCTGTGTATCTCTACGATGACTTCTAGTCTTCAAGTTAAAGCTATTAACTTTAGAAAAAAGACATAGTATACAGTGTTTCAGTGGAAGGAAATAATGCTGAAAATGTATTAGACTTTTCTATCAAAAATAAAATATTCTCTATTTTCAAGAATATTAAATCTGTAAGATATTTTTTATTTTCATTTTCTGACTTTTTACAGCCTGCACATGACTAATAACTTTATTACAGCTCGCTTGCTCTCTCTAACTGGTTGAAAACAAACATGGAGTTTTATTTTTTACCACATAACTTAAGTATGAGTAAGCATTGTCCTGGTTTTATGTAATATTTAATCCTTTAATTTATAAACTTAGCAACAATGAGAAGGAAAAATTGAGTGGAACATCCTAAATTCATTATATTGGTTGGCACACACATTTGAAAACTAAAAAATCTTAATTTTTCTAATTTTGCTATTTTAGTACTTTACTCCCAAATTTCTTATTTTCTCCCTTCCTTTTTACTTGATTTTGCTTTTGTGATTTTCAGCAGGTAAAATTTCAGAAACGAAACAAAAGCAGGTGATGCATTTGAAAACTTCTTCCTGATTATTGAAGTCAATGCTTCTTTCGCACACCACTGCCACAAGACACTAGTCCTGAGAGTCTAAGGAGGTTAATGGGGTGAGGGGCACAGGGCCAGAGACAGGAAGAAGAAAGATCTTAATTGCATCACACTGACTGGCTGGTGTGAACTTTCCATCTGGAGACAGCATTACCGCATGGTCAAGGGCACACCCTTGCTCATCAGTGATTCCTATCAATGTCTCTCAGAGTTTGGCAACTTGCCACTCCATAGAGCATCCCTGATGGTCTGAAGGCAGAGGGACAGGCGGGGGTGTGTCCTGCCTGCTGCTTCTCCCCTACACTGTGCTGAGTCAACTGTAGGGATGCACACCTCTGCTGGGTCGCGCCTTGACTCCCTAACTCCTGACCAGCGGGTGAGGTGCAACTGGCTGGACATTTTCTCCTAGCTTCACCTCCCTTAGCCACTCCACTTCCCATCGTGAAATCATAACCACTTCCCGAAGAAGAGTGCTAACATTTGAATACACCTGGGCCAGAGACCAACCCCTTCCCCCAAAATTTTAATTTTTTTTTGATGCGGCTAAATATACACACTATACAATTTACCATCTTAGCAGATTTAAAGGTACAGTGACATTAAGTACATTCATATTGTTGTGCAACCATCACTGCCATCGCTCTCTACAATTCTTTCCGTCTGGCCGAACTGAAACTCTAGTCCATTAAACACTAACTCCCCATCTCCACTGGCCCAGCCCTGGCAACCACCTTCCTGCTTTGTGTCTATGCTTTTGACTGCTCTGAGTGCCTCCTGGAAGGGAAGCTGTACAGTATCTGCCTTTTCCCTCCTAATTTTTCTCCACCTGTCCCAATTTCACCCACTGCAAACATGAGTCCTCTCATTCCTTTGATCCTCTTCCTTCCCCTTTCTCTCTCGGGGCCAGGGCAGGGGGCAGGTGGAATTTGAAACTCGTGCAGCTCCTTCAGCTCTTCATTCCTTTATAAGAATCCAATTAAAAAATTCTGATATGGGGCTGGTGTTGTGGAACAGCAGGTTAAGGCACCATCTGCAATACAGGCATCCCATATGGTGCTGGTTCAAGTCCCAGCTGTTCAACTTCCGATCCAGCTTCCTGCTAAAACACCGGGGGAAAGCAGCAGAAGATGGCTGGCATGCTTGGGCCACTGAGCCCATGTGGGGAGACCTGGATGAACTGTGTATGTGTGTGTGTGTGTGTGTGTGTGTGTGTGTGACTCTGCCTTTCAAATAGATAAGCCTCTTTTTAAAAAATTCTTATTCTTTCATACAGGTATGTGTTTCAAAGTATAATTAGTCACAACAAAGAACTATAGCTATCAACATCTAAAATCTCTGAAGTGGCTAAAAATTTGTTTCAAAACCCCAATAAAAGTTTAACTCTTAATTCATCTTTAAATAAAATTATTTCCCTCGGGGTGGGTGTTTGGCACAGAGGTTAGGCCACAATTTGGGATTTCTGTATCTCATATGGAAGTTGTTGGCTCCTCTGCCTCCGATCCAGCTTCCTGTTAATTTGTACCCTCAGAGGCAGCAGGTGATGACACAAGTACCTGGGTCCCTGACACCCACGTGGGAGACCTGGATGGACTTCTGGGCTCCTGGGTTGGGCTTGGCCCAGTCCTGGCTGTTGTGATCATTTGGGGAATGAAACATGGACAGAAGAGCTCTGTTTCTCCATCTGTCTCTTTGCTTTTCAAATAAATATTTCCCTTCAATAACAAATGTCTTCATTGTATTGCTTACTTATTTTTATTATTGTTTTTGTTATTATTTTTGGAGGTTGAGACTCAGTGTTCTACTAATGTGCTTTTCTCTTTATTCCGTGAACAGTTGTGCAGATTTCAACTGCGTTACAGTTAAAGAGGTCTTGGAGACTAAAGTCTGGGAGCCAAATCACGACATTTAAAACTGCTTCTCCAGGAATGTATTCTAAGTTGCTGGAGAAATGAACTTCCTGAACACAACCCATTTATAAACTGGAGCCTGTGGTATATTATGCACACCCCCTCCCAGATTTTCATTAGTGACTCAAAGTTGGAAGGTGTTAGCCAGATCTATGCCACAGGATAAGCACCAAAGGATGAAAGAAGCAGACAAGCAAATCTTAGCAGCCAGCAGGTCCTTGAGGGCCTCGGCCAAGAGATGAGCATCAGAGCTCAACCCAATGGCGGATATGTGGATTGTGAACATTCTGGGACTGCAAAGACCCAAAGAACCATTTAAATTAAATGTTTAAAAATATTTTTGCAAAAATTATATATATGAAAACACTTCAAAAAGTTCATAAAAAATGGAACAAAAAGTATGAGGTGATCTTGGTGCAGAACACATTTTTTTCTTCAAACACAGAAAATGCGTCTCCTGAAAAGGTAATGGGTTCAAAAACAATAATTCATACTTTTAATTCCATTTTCCCACAAGCTTTCTAAAGTAGCCTCATATTTAGCATGTACAACACGGTGTGTCAAAATATGTGTATACTGAGGAATGGCTCAGTTGAGTTCATGGTCCCAGTCTGGTTGGCAGTCCCCTGCCAGGGAAGACTGCCCAGCAGCCTGTGACAGCTGTTCAGGGCACAGACCTCCACGGCTCCTCGGTGCACTGCCATTTCTGACCCGCCTTCTGCTACTAATGGGAAGCAGGTGGGGCACTCAGGTGCTGAGGAGCCCCTTTTCCTTGTGGCCTTCATTTTCAGCAAGTTGCCTGCCATCTAGTCCTTCAAGATGGGAGTTGCTAGAAGACGTCCTTTGGCTTTTCTGGCCAATAGAAATCTACTGATTCAGCATATGAAGGAGATTTGTTTTACTGTGTTCCTGATCACCACTGGTTTTAAATGTGACCACAAGACCATACTATTTACTAGCATTTTTATCACAATAATTAACATCTATCACAGATTGCTACTAGGAGAAACCATTTGGAAAAAGAAAATGTGGTACATATACATAATGGAATAGTACTTAGCCATTAAAAAGAATGAAATCCTGTCTTTTGCAACAAAATGGATACAACTGGAAACCATTATGCTTAGTGAAATGAGCCAGACCCCAAAAGACAAATAACACATGCTTCCTTTATATATTAGCTACCAAAAATCAAAGTACAAAAAATGTAATGTACATGAGTGAAATTGACAACCTGAGATTTGATTATTGTCTGTAACCCTTGTCTACACTCCTGTGGTACAGTGATCTTTCTACTTTCTACTTGTTGAATTTATTTAGTGGAGGATTAAGCCTGACTATAAAGTAAACTGAAAGATGTTATCACAAAAAAATAAAAGGAAAAAGAAAAAAAAGGAAAGAAGGAGAGGGTGGGAAGTATCATTATGGGCTTAAAATTGTATATATGAAATATACAAAATATTTTCTTTTTACATAAGCAAAAGTAAGTAAATGAATAGCTCATCATCAAAAAACAATAAAGACAGTATTGGGATCCCTTACTTCTTTTGAAAAAGAAACTTCAAAATGTTAATGCTTATAATTTAGAGTATTTATACCTGAAGGGGCTTTAATAAGGGACCACCTTTTTGCATTGTTCTAAAGCAGATACTATGACTTAGAGTCACTGACAAGGGAACTCACTTTCCCAGCAGGAGCTGCACAGATGTTAACTTAGCCTCGTCTCTGTGGTCAAAGGTGAAAAGTCAAAACTGACATTTCAGACATTACCTTTCAGCATCATTCGTCCAGCGGAACCTCCAAAAGTACTGAGAAGACCACTTCTTGTTCCTAAAGACGTGGTTGCTTCCAGGAGAGAACCGGTGACGTACTGAGAGATGGAGGTCCTTTGCAGGGTGGCACGATACTCACACACAGTGTCTCGGACGCACTGCTTCAGGCAGGGACCTAGGCTGACCCTCCCATGAGCTGTCTCTGAGGCTGGGAGCTTTGTGAAGAACCGGAGAAGAGATCCAACTGGATTTTCTGTTTCTTCTCTTCTCACTGCATGGTAGATCTGTGAATAGCACAAAGTACAGGAAGTATTAATCTAGTTTCTTAGAAAAGCAAATGAACTTGTTGACAGAGTGCCAAGATGACTTATTAAGAAGGCTCGGTCTCTCCAAGCACCAACATTCTGGGCTCCGGACTCATGCATTAACCTGAACATTCTACAGACACCGTGTATTTGGAAAAGCTGTGGGTGGTTATGGAATGGGCCATTCAAACAAGCCTGCTATGAGAGCACTCACAAGTTGTACCAACCAAAAATACATGCAGCTCAAATTTCCCGTCCTCCTTGGCAGAGACAAGCTCTTCTGCTGATAGATGAGGGTGAAGCTGTCTGTTTGCCCCTTTTGGAGTCCCCTCCTGTCCATCTGCTTCCTGAAACCCCTCAGCTGGAAATTCATGGGGAACCACTTGTCCACGCTCAAATTGAAGTGAGGATGAGAGGGTTGTGGGGAAGGAGCACTTCCCCATTTCTCTCTCGGGCTAAATCCCTCAATCCATCAGCTGAGATCACAGTGTTTGAATCTTTTTCCTCGCCCTCCTCTCTCACCTCCCACATCCTAGAAGTAGACATATCCTGGTCAACTCTATCTGCCTTGTCTCTGTCACCATCCTGACTTCTCCTTTCATTACCTGAATTCACCAAGAATTATCTCACAAAGATTGAACCATTAGAGACAGGTACTCAACTGTGTCTTCAATGCAATCATTCAACATGAGTGTGTAAAGACTCTGCTCTGGGCCAGCGCCACAGCTCAATAGGCTAATCCTCTGCCTGCAGCGCCAGCACACCGGGTTCTAGTTCCGGTCAGGGCGCTGGATTCTGTCCCGGTTGCCCCTCTTCCAGGCCAGCTCTCTGCTGTGGCCCGGGAGTGCAGTGGAGGATGGAGCAGGTCCTTGGGCCCTGCACCCCATGGGAGACCAGGAGAAGCACCTGGCTCCTGCCATCAGATCAGCGCAGTGTGCCAGCCGCAGCACGCCGGCCGCGGCGGCCATTGGAGGGTGAACCAATGGCAAAGGAAGACCTTTCTCTCTGTCTCTTTCTCTCACTGTCCACTCTGCCTGTCAAAAAAAAAAAAAAAAAAAAAAAAAAAAGACCCTGCTCTGTGTGAGACACTGTGTCAAAGGTCATGGGTATGGTGGCACATACCTAAATTCAATCTAACTTTGAAAATTATGAAAATTATGAGGTTTGACATCATTGCAGGAAGGTTTTGGCCTTTGTCAAGCCTTCTGGAAGGCCAATGACTAGCAGAGAGTCTATGAGGGTATTTCAAACAGTTTGTAGAAAAACTGAATTAAGATATGCACATTTTCCATCAACTTTTTGAAGACCTCCTTGTATAAACAACCAGGATACAACATCACACAGGGTGAGGTAGCCATCTGATGGTGGAATAAAGGCTGACTACATTGTGCCATTTTGAGTACCTTGTCTTGGCAGACTCGTAATTCACTCATCAAACCAACAAATTGTGATGCTTTTATATCCCAGTAACAGCATCAGACCTGGGAAAACTAGGCAGTTTCTCCCCTTAACGAGCTCACAGTAAAAGAAACAGATAAGCTAAGAGCTTACAGTAGAGTTGAAACGGAGGTTACTCCTTTAGGATGTATCAATCAACGGCCATGGAAAGGAAACCCTCATGTGGCCTCCAGGCCGTGTATGTGCCTCCACGATGCTGCACACTCCAAATATCACCTCACCCAGGGCCCAGAGCCTTACTAAGCCCTTACAAGGCCCTCCATTAAACCCCGAGCCTCAACGATACTCAAATTGCACTGACCTTAACTGGATTTCTAGTGTACCCTCCTCTGCCTACTAAGAGATGCTTCCACCAGGAGGCAGAGTGTGAAATCTTAGCTGTAATTCTCTGTCATTATATTTCTGGTGGCCAGTGTAGCCATGGGGATGGTTTACTGAGACAGAAAGAACTCAGAGCTTAGGGTCAGAGTCAATCATGAGAAAAAGGAAGCTACCTGAGACGGTTTCTTCTCTATAAATTGGGGAAAGCAACACCCTGTTTTAGAGATGTTGGGAAATTCACAGACAGTGTATGAGAAGTTCTCAGTGTAGTGTTTAGAAATGGTGGCCAGGGGCCGGCACTGTGGCATAGCAGGTTAAGCCTCCACCAGAGATGCCTGCATCCTATATGGGTGACTGTTTGAGAACCAACTGCCCCACTTCCTATCCAGCCCCCTGCTAATGGCCTGGGAAAGCAGTAGAAGGTGGGCCAAGTGGTTGGGCCCATGTATCCATGTGGGAGACTTGGAAGAAGTTCCTGGTTTCTGGTTTCTGGCTTCAGACAGCCCAGCTCCAGCCACTACAACCATCTGGGAAGTGAACCAGTGGATGGAAGATCACTCTCTGTCTCTTCTATTCTCTCTGTAACTCTGCCTTTCAAATAAATAAAAAATGAATCAAAAAAAAAAATAAGAAATAGGGCCAGCACTGTGGTGCACTGGGTTAAAGCCCTGGCCTCAAGCACCGGCATCCCATATGAGTGCTGGTTCTAGTCCTGGCTGTTCCTCTTCCGATCCAGCTCTCTACTATGGCCTGGGAAAGCAGTTGAAGATGGCCTGAGTTTTCGGGACCCTGCACCCATGTGGGAGGCCCAGAAGAAGCTCCTGGCTCCTGGCTTCAGATCAGCTCAGCTCCGGCCGTTGTGGCCATTTGGGGAGTGAACAAGTGGATGGAAGAACTCTCTGGTCTCGACCTCCCTTACCTCCCTCTGTAACTCTTTCAACTAAATAAAAATAAACCTTAAAAAAAAAAAATAGTTCCAGGGGTCAGTGCTGTGATGTAGCGAGTAAAGCCCTTGTCTGCAGTGCCGGCATCCCATATAGGCACCGGTCTGTGTCCCGGCTGCTCCATTTCTGATCCAGCTCCTTTGCTAATGGCCTGGGAAAGCAGTAGATGATGGCCCAAGTCCTTGGGCCCCTGCCGCCAATAAGGTAGACCTGGAAGAAGCTCCTGGCTTCAGCCTAGCTTAGACCTGGCCATTGAAGCCATCCGGTGAGTGAACCAGCAGATGGAAAATCTCTCTGACTCATTTAAATAAATGTTTTTTTTTTTTTTAAAAAGAAATGGTGCCCATTACTGTTGGGCAAGTCTACATAAGAGAGGACTCTCCTCCCTTCAAAGGACAACAGGTGGTTTACGATTGTATAGCTTGTGAAATTCAGTGTGTGCAGTTATATCTGCGCTTCCCTGTGTTTCTGGACGATACCACTGAGACATCTGAGGGTGCTGTTAGGGCAGTTGGGGGTAGAGAGCTGCGGTCTTCAGTACATGATTTTCTCTTTTCAGTTCTAAATCACATAGGCAATCCCCAACACACTACGCAGTGAATCCTCTAGAAGTCCTGGATAAAGGACCCCCTGTGAGGTCTGATGGCTAAAGGAGGCTTCACTGGGAAAGCGGGATGCGATCTGTGCCTTGGAAAGTGGCACAGTTCTAACTGGAGCAGCAGCAGGAGACAGCCAGTGATGTGAGGAGCAAGAGTGAGGAGGCTGGAAAACAGACTGTGTCCTAAGCATTGTGGGTAGAGCAGGGTGTTCAGAGCGGAGAGTGTACGTAGGGAATAGCCTGCCAATGTGAACGGTCAGCCGGCCTGGTAAAGGACACTTGAATGCTAAAGCAAAGAGTTTTAAACCACCAGAGGTGAGCAATACTTCATGTACTGTGTTTGCTTATTTGTTTTTAAGCACAGCAATAATGCTAAGTTGTTTTGTTTTAATAAGACGATCATGCGGGCAGTGCCTAGTGATGAATGGGTTGGCTAACTTTGTTTACTTGCCAAGCTGCTCCACTGGCTTGCCACACCCTCACTCGTGACCTTACGCATTGCACTTTCCATATCATGTCTTCAGAGATGCCCAGTTGTGGGGAGCAGGGCCCGGCTCCCACAACATGGCGCTGAGAGGGAGTAAACAAGTTCTACACAGCGGCTTCGGCTGCTTCATCAATCTGACTAATGAGCTGCAGCGGCTGATCCAACCTCTGATTGGAAGAAAGCGGGGTGCTCAGCACGCGGGCAGCGGAGCACGGATTGGTGGAAGAGGACTATAAAAGGGGACTCAACTGCACTTTCTGGGACAACTACTGTCTCCGGGCTGGTGGAGCGTTCACTGGGGAGCTCATTATTTCGCTCTTCTCTTTACCTGTTTTTGCGTTGCTAGAGAAAAAAACCTACTGAAAGGGAATAACAGCGTCCGGTCCGGTGCCGCTCCTCCTCTCGCGGAGGAGCGACACCCAGTGGTTCATTCAGTACCCGACCCAACTTTTGCAAGGTGTTTTCCTCAAAACAGTAGATCAAGGGATTCCATGAGTTAAGGACTCATTAATCAGGTTTGAAACTCTCAGCAAATATTCCCCACTTTTAGAGATTTATATTTTACAATTAGAAAGGGGCAGAGTAAAGAAACCTACTTTATTTAACTTTATTTCCCACGTTGTTTGACCATGGATTTTTTAAAAAGAACATTTAGCCTACACATGGAATGTTGTACCAATGATTCGCTCTAATCTATTGGTCTTTTCTTATTCTCACTTCTTTAAACTTTGTGGAATTTCTGAAGCATAAATCATCCATCTTCTAGTCTTGTAACTCACTGGTCTATATCCACCTCATTCTGTGTCTCTCCTTCCACCTTTGGCCTTCAGGACAGCTATCGTGCAATAAAGATGTGCCAACAGGTGCCTAATAGGTGTGTGTTGGGTGGGGGATAGGTGGGCCATAAACTGATTGGCCACGGGCCAGATTCAGTCAACAGGTTGTCAAACAGTGTTACACAGTGTTTCAAAATCATGAAATTTATATACACATCTGAAGTTATGGCAGCTAATGAATTGATCTGGGTCCTCCAGCTGGTGCCAGTCCCTTCCCTACACCAGCCAAGTCACACTTGGCCAATATCTGTCACCATTAATGCAGTCATCTCCCCTTTTCCACAGCTTCAGTTACCCAAGGTCAACCATGGTCTGGAAAGATTAAACTGAAAATT